GGGGGGGGGGGGGGGGGGGGGGGGGCAGCATTCTCAACCAAGTACCGGTACTTTGCATTGTTAACATGAATTTTTTATTTTTTTAATCAAACCTGAAAAAGCTCAGATTTGAAACTGGAACAAAGTTTCTTTATGATTTTTGAAAATAGCTGCAGATGTATATTTTTTGAATAATCCTTTTTTTTGTGTATTTTGGTAGAATATGTGTGCACGCAGCATACAAATTCACCCCCCCACACCACCACACCACCACCTCCCCGGCTCTTGTCTTTGACAGGCCCCTGAATGTGCATGGTTTGCTGCTCTGCCTCGTCTCCTCAGCAGCTCTGGGAATACCAGAGTCAGAACACAGACACGGCTGAAAACAGACAAATGAACTGCTGAACACAGGTACTGCACCCCCCCCCCCCCCACACCCCCCTCCCCATCAGAAACAGGGACACGTCCTCACAACCAGAACAATGAACATGTTGTGCTAACACTACATGCTACAGAAAACACAAGAGGGTCTAATACTTCCTAAAAGATGAGCTGACAATTTGTTTAAATTTATTTCAAAATGGAACAGAACAGAAAACAATGTCAGACAGATACACAGATGTAGAACATGTAAAGACAGATGTAGAACATGTAAAGACAGATGTGGAACATGTAAAGACAGATGTGGAACATGTAAAGACACATATGAAACGTGTAAAGACAGATGTAGAACATGTAAAGACAGATGTAGAACATGTAAAGACACATATGGAACATGTATAGACACATATGGAACATGTATAGACAGATGTGGAACATGTAAAGACACATATGGAACATGTATAGACACATATGGAACATGTATAGACAGATGTGGAACATGTAAAGACACATATAGAACATGTATAGACACATATGGAACATGTCAAAGCAAGGTACATGTAAAAACACAATTACATAAAAAATGTAATACTGTTTGTAACAGTAATACATTTAAATACAACAAAAAACATTAAAACTGTTGCTAGTAAAAATACATGTAAAAACTGTTGTACAAACAAAAACATAGGCACAGTATTTGTAAAACCAGTATTACTTGTATAAAAGTGTAAAAGCAGCTTCACGTGTGTTGTATTGAAAGAGTTTAATAAAAACAGCATTATATCTAACAGCAGTGTTGAACGTGTATTTGTAAAAACTGTGGCTTAGCAGCGCTGCAGAAACCATCTGATCTGTAGTCTGTGCTGTGGTGGTGGGCTTTCCAGGGAACGTTGTGCCAGCGTGTGCACGTGGGTATACATGTGTGTATACATGTGTGTATACATGTGTGTATACATGTGTGTGTCCTGCGAGCAGGCCTGCGGGACAATGATTACAGATGGGTGGACGTGTCCTCGGCCAGGGACGGGGATTCTCATGCAAATCAGGGATGCTGCCCAGTAACACTCCATTCTTGTAAAACTGAAGAATATAAGATGGACCGTGTTGGCTGTACTGGTGAGCTGTACTGGTGAGCTGTACTGGTGATGCTGTACTGGTGATGCTGTACTGGTGATGCTGTACTGGTGATGCTGTACTGGTGATGCTGTACTGGTGAGCTGTACTGGTGATGCTGTACTGGTGGGCTGTACTGGTGAGCTGTACTGGTGATGCTGTACTGGTGATGCTGTACTGGTGATGCTGTACTGGTGATGCTGTACTGGTGATGCTGTACTGGTGATGCTGTAATGGTGATGCTGTACTGGTGAGCTGTGATGGTGATGCTGTACTGGTGATGCTGTACTGGTGATGCTGTTCTGGTGAGCTGTACTGGTGATGCTGTACTGGTGATGCTGTACTGGTGATGCTGTACTGGTGATGCTGTACTGGTGATGCTGTACTGGTGATGCTGTACTGGTGATGCTGTACTGGTGATGCTGTGATGGTGAGCTGTACTGGTGATGCTGTACTGGTGATGCTGTGATGGTGAGCTGTAACTGCACACAGACAAGGTCTCGGCCCAGAACTGATGTAGCGGGGACGTTTCAGACTGGATGTAGAGCGTCACCTACTGGTCTCAGGCTGCTGCTGCTCAGATCTGTAAAACCAGATCCATCCAGACATGTTCTTCCTCTGCTTGGTGGGCCTTCGGATGTCCATGTGTTGTGATTTAATTTCTCATTAAACATACCTCTGTTCCCTCATTAGAACAGATCATTACGGCCCAAACTAACCCGATCTCTGGCTTGGATGAGTCCCCCCCCCCCCCCCCCCCTTTAGATCTCTCCTCATGCGTTACACTTCACTGAGAAGAATAAAAGAGCTGAGTCTCAGTCCGAGGGGCTTCATGTGAGCTCGGGCTGCTGCTGATTGGCCACCCCCAACACGCCGCTCCTCCACAGCACAACCTGTCACTGTTAATCAGGAGTGGGCCGGGGCTATCGGAGAGGTGAGCCCATTGCTATTCAGGACGAAACAGATGATAAATCATTTGTACATAATTAGTGCTCAGCAAGGTTACAACTGACACGTATTTTCATCTTAATTAGGAGGGAAATTTGTTCCATTAATTTAATTTGGTGTGCATGAGCAGCTCGCACCTAACTGAGTTAATCTTCCACCTGTCAGGGTGGGATGGAGTCCGGCCTCAGATCACACAAGAACAGTTTCTTTCCTCACACATCTCCAGAACAAAACGTGAAGCTGCAGCCTGGACCGCTTCCTGCTGGCTCAACAAACGGGCCTGAGGTGATGGACGCCGCTGCCACCAAACCTTCTAGTCCTCCTTCATAGAAGAACGTGAACGTTCTAGTAATTAGTTATCAATGTAATGAGCCGAGACATCAGCCATGGGGTACGAAGTGTGGAGAAAAACACGAGCTTTTGTCCAGACTAGGCTTTTAGCCAAACAAGGCCCGTGGTGTGTTGGTTTCAGGTCTTGATTTAAAAACAAATACTGATGTGAAAGAACACCAACTAAATTAAACATCTAGACGTGTGCATGACATCACTTGTTCCCCATCACCACGACTGGAGTCCGGAGGGGACTGGAACAGAACCTCCATCTGTCCGTCCTGAGAGCGAGATGCCTTGAAGAACAAGCAACATGACTCTAAGGTCACCATGTATGTAACAGATCACTGAGGTTCACAGCCCCGCCCGAAGAGCTGCTGCACCTAAACATCAAACCTCTGATCACCTGGAAACCTTCGTGAGGGACTGATGGCTAACCTCAAATCAGGGCGCGTCCACTGAACTGCTCAGGGGCCAGACATGTAGTTGTTATTCTCATTGTTTGTTTCTTGGTTTAAAATCTAGTTTTATTTCAAATTAACTCGTTGTTGGACCGGACTGAGCTCATCCGTGGGCCTGATTTGGCCCCAGGGCCACCATTTGAACACCCCTGCCTTAAATGATGTTAGCTGTTGATCCAAAACGTTTCATGACGACTGCGTCCGTCCTTTACACAGTATTAGTATAAAAACTGTATATTTTAAGTAATTCTGATTTTCTTTCCAAAGAATGGAATTGAATCCAAATGTTTCCAAACTCGTATTTTTATTTTTCCGTACTTATAAAAATACTAAAACTAAATTCCAGATGTTGAAAACTGTAGAAACAAAAAACACGATCAAAGAATAAATCTGAACGTCCAACTCTCATTAAACCTCATTATTTATAATCTTATATTATTGGGACTATTATTCATTTGATTGTTTGTCCCCGAGTCGTTTCGGTCTCAATTATTTTTTATTTAACAATAAACTTAAAAACGTGTAAATGTTTCAACCATTTTAAGACACTTAAAAATAAAATGTGGTTGAAAATTCTGTTGTCAAAACCAAAGTGAGGCGTCCAGCTGTAGCTGCTGCACCGTCACGTCGGAGGTCCTCGTTACATTAGAGCAGATAAACGGGTCAGCTGATTTATCAATAATTAATTAAACTCCACAATAAAAACACGATAAAAACTTTGAACATCTCAGATTTATTTCAGACATCAGGCTCAGAGTTAAACAGCTGAACTGTCCCTTTAATGGGCTTCTTGCATCGTTTCACCCCAGTGACGTTCACCACCCACGGCCATGACGTTGGTCTGTTAGCAAAATATCTCATCGAGTTTAAACCTACAGTTGAATCATGTTCAGAGTCAACGCCATTCAAGATGGCTGCCGTGGCTACAACAGCTAAGCTAACAGACGTTAAGCTGTTTGACGTGGTAGTAGCCGACAGTCGTCCTCGAGGCAGATAATTAAAGCTGGGGGGGCGACTCGTCCAGGACCAGCCAGACCGGCACATAAACTGACAGCAGAATGTTTCTGAACACCCCCCAGCTTAACGTGGGGTGTTCTGGCTCTTGGGCTCCTTCAGCAGCTCCTCCTCGTCCATGGGCTCGATGACGACGCCCAGCCGGGTCACCACCCGGGGCCTGGTCACCTTCTTCACCGTGTGCTCCGTGTTCCAGGTGCGGCCCAGCGGCGAGCGGATGCAGCTCTCGAACTGGGCGCAGGTCTCGAAGGGGAAGGGCAGCGAGCTCACCTGGTGGAGGCCAACGGAGCCGGTCCTCTTCTCGGAGATGATCACGCTGGGGAGGAGGCGGTCCTTCCTGGGCGGCGGCGGCGCCATCTTGGTCCTGAACCTTCGGCGTTTCTTTGTGGACGGTTTGATGCCGAGCCCCCCCCACTCTCCCCAGCCGGGCAGGGTCAGGTCCAGGACCTTGGGCTTCCCCGCCTCTTCCTGCTTCCTTTTGTCTCGGATGAAGTCGGAGACGACGTCGTCCCCGGCGAACGCCTCCCGGATGAGCCCCCGCTGGTCCAGCTGCTCCTCGGAGTCCATGATGGTCGGGGCCAGAGGCACCGCGAGGACCTTCGTCTCTTTGGTGAGAACTTCTCGCAGCTCCACGCCTTTCCGTTTCCTGCGCGGGCCTGCTGGACGCTCTGACGGAGGGGGTTCTGGGGGAGGGGCCTGCAGAGGCATGGAGGGTTCTGAGGGCGGGGCCTGCGGGGGTTCTTCAGGCAGATCTTCAGCATCCTCCACAGACCTGATCCTGATCAGGCCCTCCTCCAGCTCAGCTGAGGCTTCACCTGCTGCTGCAGGAGCTCCCAGGTCTTTGGTTAGTCCTCTGAAGATCCTGGTGAACTCTGACAGCCCCGCCTCCTCCTCCTCATCATCAGAAGTCTCTGCTTGTTTCTCCTCAGCTTGGACCTTCATCACCACCACCTCCTCATCATCAGAAGCCTCTGCTTGTTTCTCCTCAGCTTGGACCTTCATCACCACCTCCTCCTCATCATCAGAAGCCTCTGCTTGTTTCTCCTCAGCTTGGACCTTCATCACCACCTCCTTCTCATCATCATCAGAAGCCTCTGCTCGTTTCTCCTCAGCTTGGACCTTCATCACCACCTCCTCCTCATCATCATCAGAAGCCTCTGCTTGTTTCTCCTCAGCTTGGACCTTCACCACCACCTCCTCCTCATCATCATCATCGACGACGATGACGTCTGCCGTGTCAGAGTCCTGAGCCTGACGCTGTTTCCTCCTGAGGTCCATCTCCCTCAGAAGCACCTCCTCCTCTGGCTCCTGCACCTCCTCCTGTTCCTCAGCTGCATCCACAGCCGTCATGCTGCTCATCTTCATCTCTGTGGACTCCTCAGAGAGCCTCCCTCTCATCCAGGGGTTGGAGGAGTCCTGCTGGAGCTCTGCAGCGTTCACAAAGTCCGGCAGCAAGTCTGCATCCCCCTCTTCCTCCTCCTCCTCCTCCTCCTCCTCCTCCTTCAGTGAAGTCACCAGTTTCTGGGTGAGCTCCCGGTTCACCTCCAGCTGCTCCTGCATGGCTCTGCGGGCCCCCTCGTCATATTTGGCCATGATGGCTCTGGACCGGGCCCACTTGCTGCTGTTCTGGTGCTTCAGGGACATCCTCTCCTGCATGCGGGCCAGCTCCATCTTTTTCAGCTCCTCCAGGGCCGCCTCCGGGTCCACCTTCACCATCTCCTCAAAGTTCTTCAGGAGGTCCTTCCTCTTGGCCTTGTTCTGCACCCTGTGGTACTTCTTGCTCTTGATCTTCTTCTCCCTGCGGGCCTTGGACTCGTAGTAGGACTGCAGAGCCCGGGCCTTCTGCAGCTCGGCCCGGCGGATCTTGGCGTCCTCCAGGCTCATGGCCCTCACAGAGGCCTCCTCGACCGGGGTCAGGACGGGGTCGTTGATGGGCTGCTGGTTGGCAGACAGCAGGGCGAACACCTCCTGCTCCAGAGGAGTCTGGGCCTTCCAGCCCGTCACCACCCGCTCCATGGGTCTGGGTCCAGACGGTTCTGGGTTGAGGGGGAAGCGCAGCTGCTCCGCCATCTGGTTCTGGTTGATGATGCTGGTCCAGCGGCTCACCTCGGTCGCGGCCTTCTGGAAGGCCAGGTCTCTGTGAATCCTCTGGGTCTCCTGTTTGCTCAGGGGACAGTCCACGGTCCTCCTGCTCTGCTGCAGCTCCTTCAGCTGCTTCCGGCTCCGGGCAGAGACGGCCGGGACGGCCTCCACGGTTCGGATCAGGTCCGACAGCTCGACCTTGTCGGACCCCCCCTCGGCGCTCACCGTGAACTCAGACATGTGAGTGGCCGCCTCCGACCTCTCCCCCAGGGTCCTCTTCTTCCCCCCGAGGGCGCTGATGGCCTCCAGCAGCTTCTGGTGCTTCCGTTCGTTCTCCTCTTCGTCCTCAGCGCTGCTGACGTCTTCATCGTCTGCGCCATTAAAACCATCGTCTTCATCGTCGTGGTGGACTACAGTTTTCACCCGGCTGCTCCCCGGCTCCTCCGAGCCCTGTCTGGACTTCTTCTTAGTCCCTCTTTTCTTCGAAACTTTCGCCATGCTGGAGAAACACCGAACTTCAACAAACGCTGACCACGTTAGCCGTAAACTGCGAGGCTACCGCAAAACAGCCGTAAAGCGAGCGGAAGTGTTGAGAAGCGCCTCTCCCGCCGAACAGGAACGGCCACTGACGGCGCTAAGCGAGATTTCTGGCTGCCATCTTGAGAAGAGCTTTGTGCGTTTTTAATCAATCAATCAACCTTTATTTATACAGGTAAATCAGGAGTTGTGTTGCAGTTTGATGCGTCATCACTGTTTTATTTAAATAAACATTTATCATCGATAATGTGAGGACTGGGGAGCAGGGTATTCTGTAACAACTCTTGCAACAAGCCTGATTAAGTTCTTTTTTCGTTCAACCTTAGACTCATTTACAAGAGAGACCTGTTTTAAACAAAGAACACAGATCAAGTACACAACAATAAACAGCCATAAAATGCATATAGAATGAAAAACAACTAAAAGTAGTGTTATAAAAGAAAATTAAAACAAGCTATAAAGCAACGTAAAATAGTAAAAACAGGAACAATGCGTTGATTTTTGCCATGAGCAGAACAGTTGTTTAAAATCCCTTAGTGGTCAAAGGTCGAGAGCTTCAGATCTTTTTACAAGATGTTCCAGGAAACAGGAGCGGAGTAGGAGAAGGTCCTTTTGTCTAGTTCAGTCCTCACTGAGGGAACACTGCAGGTAATGATGTCCTGAGAGCGCACGCTGTAGCTGCACTCACACAGAGACATGTAGGAGGAGATGTATGAAGGCAACAGACCAAGAAGTGATTTAAAGATGAAAATGTACCAGTGAGAGAGTCTGTGTGAAGTTAATGATGACCAGATCTTTACAAGTCTGATTAGTTAGCTCTTCTACTACTGTATGGAGTTACATACCAATTTATTTCTGAAGTGCTTAAAATACAACAAGTAGCCATCCGAAGTGCTGTACAAAATTAAAAACAAACAAAAAACAGTAAAACAATAAAACAACTAAATTAAAGTTAAATTATCTTAAAGTAACAACTTAAAGAGGATAAACTTGTAGTGGGTGATAATAAAAACATGAAACCACAATATTCTTTAGGGTATCCTGTGGGTTAGGGTCCGGGCCCAGAGTGGGGTCACCTTCTTTAACCTCTGCACCACAACACCCCCTTATTTAAAATAAATAAATGTAAGAGAACAAATCTGTCAAATTTAAAAAATCTATTACATTCATACCAAATTATACTCCTTTCAGCTCAGAGCTGTGTGATTAAAAGTTATTTTAACTTTAAATTATATAGTCAAACAACACAAATTACATTTAAATATAAAGTATAATCTGTCTTTAAAATGTGATCGTGCACGGACTTGTTCTTTAATGTTTATGTGTCGTCACGTTGTGGTTGTGTTGTTGTTCTGTTTTCAATAAAGTTTTAGGGTTGCCAAATAATAAAAAGACGACAAACGTATTCTTTTTATTTGACCCAAAGTACTATAAGTGTTGAGTTAATTTTGTTACACAGAAATCTCCAAGCCATTGTTCATTTTGACGTTTCATAAAGTATTGTGCAGAAACTGAAACGATCATTGCTGATCATCAGTCACGCTGAGCAGCTGACAGGTCATGTGACAGGTCACGTGACCTGTCGTTAACGCTCCGGTCCAACATGGCGGCGGCTGCTTCTGTCTTCCACAGACTGAGGACGGGATCCAAGATAGGAGCCCAGTACGACCAGGAGGGCAACCTGATCCAGGTACGATCTGATCCGGGTCCGCCATCAGGGCGGGTTAGCTAGCATCACGGAGCTTCCGCTAAAGTTCGGCCCGGTCCACGGAGGGAGCTCAGCGTGGGAGTGGAGCCTGTTGGGGCACGATCTGTTCCCACAGAGCCTCGAGGGTCAGTCTGAGTTTGTGTCTTCATCCAGGTGGAGACCAGAGAGGATGAGGAGCAGAACGTGAAGCTGGCCGAGATCCTGGAGCTCCTGCTGGCCGCGGGCTACTTCCGGGCCCGGATTAAAGGCCTGTCCCCGTTTGACAAGGTGTGCAGAGGACACGCGCACACACACGCACATTAAACCCTAAAATGTCTCCTGTTGCTTTGACTGTAATATTCTCTCAGCTGGTGTGTGTGTGTGTGTGTGTGTGTGTGTGTGTGTGTGTGTGTGTGTGTGTG